CACATCTGCCCTGTGCAGCCACAGCACATCTGCCTTGTGCAGCCACAGCACATCTGTCCCATGCAGCCACAGCACATCTGTCCCGTGCAGCCACAGCACATCTGTCCTGTGCAGCCACAGCACATCTGCCTTGTGCAGCCACAGCACATCTGTCCCGTGCAGCCACAGCACATCTGTCCTGTGCAGCCACAGCACATCTGTCCTGTACCCTGTGCAGCCACAGCACAGAAAGGCCGTGACTGGTGAAGACACCAGGCATTTAGGGAACAGGCCTTCAAACAAGAGCAGCTGAAGAGGACAGAGGGTGGAAGCTGCTCCCACGCAGAGCATGGGTCCTGTGTCTCAGCAGCATTCCTGTCCTGGCTCCCCCCGGTACTAAAACAGGAGCCCCAACCAGTTCAGCCAGAAGCATGGGGCTCTGCAGATAAGATCTGCCATGAATTTACACCGACCAGGAACCACATTTGGGAAGAGGGGATGGACAGAAAAGAGGCAACACAGACAAGCAGCCAATCAGTGAAGCCCCAGGGGTCTGTTTGGTTACTCCCGCTTACTAGAGCCCCGACCTTCGGTAGCGCTCGAAACAGTCCCTCATCCTCCTGCGCTCCTTCTCCTCGCTGGCCGAGCCGCACTCCTGCAACTGCAAAACAAGCCAAACACAGGTGAGCTGGGCTCCTCTGAAGGTCAGATCGGTGTATAGCACCAGTGAGTGCAGACCTGCTCTGGTTTTGAGGCTGAGGTGCTACATCTGGGCCCTGCAGGGCTGAACACCATGCTAAGCTGGGTCATTTCTCCTCCCTGATTTATGCAATGAAGCATTTTTACATATAAATGAGGGAGGAAAAAATAAATAAATGGGAACCTCTGACTTCAGATGAGTAAGAAGGGCTGTTCACTGCCAAAACTCTCTTCCAGGAAAGCAGCCCACTGTGTCCAGCCAGCTTCCTGCATCTGTCTGGGGCTGCAGCATGGAGCACAGCAAGTCCCTCTCTGGGCTCTTCACTGCTGTGTGTGCAGGATGGTAATACATCTGTTTCACATCATTTTACCATCTCTATTCTCTCCCTTTTCTAAATACAAGATTCTATTTCCTCTGCTAACAGTAGACAATTAGCACTGGAAAACATCCCCACCCAGAGATGAAGGCCAAGAAGTAATCAGACTAAGTTTCTAGGCCAGATGCAGAAACAACCACCAGAAGTGTTTTGCTGTTCAAAGCTCACGCTTTTTGGAGGGTAAGTTTTGCAGAAATTGCTTAGATTTTGGGAAAGCAGTAGCTGCTTACATTCTTCTCAGATCTGGTAAATCCATCATTAACAAGAACATTAAAGATCCCAAACCCCAGTAGCAGTAAAGAAGAGCCCACAAAGCTTCTCTTACACTGGGTGACTTTGGAGGCAGGCTGCTCTCTTGAGTGCTGAATTGCTCGTTTTGTCCTTCAGGGGGATCTTCTAACAGGGAAAAATCCAATACAAAACACAGATTTAGTCACACTTGCCATTGTGAAGTAACTTCTCCCTCCACCAGTTCACACAGCAACAGCTGTAACTTAACAGCTGCCCAGCATTGCACAGCCCACAGAGAACTGAAACCAAGCCTCAGAATGTTCAGGATTCAGTCCTGTGATCAGTGCACAAGTCACTTTTCATTTTACTTGACCCCTGAACTTTGCTTAGGATGATGGAGTTTCCTCCCTAGGCTCACAAAGACAGCAGCTTACTAGTTTCTGCTTATGCAGGAGCAAAATGAACCTTTGTAAAGCAGCTCCTTTGCTTGCCATTGTTAAAATAAAATAACAACTAAGTTGTGCACATGAAGAGACCTCACATCAGACCATATTTTAGTGAAACTCCTTATGTAGGATCAGGTATCACGATACAGGTTTTTTACCTGAGCAAAGTAGAATAATAAAAGGCTCTTTGGATCAGTGCTCTTCAGCTTTTGTGAAAAATCTCCTATCTCAATGAACAAAAAAATCATTTAGATCTTCCAGGACATGAAAACAGAACATTTCTTCTAAAGTGCTTGTTTCTTTCCTTTCTCAACATGTTTTGAAAGAGAATTTCAAGTTGGCAGAGGAGCCTGTTAATTCTTTTCCACACTGCTGAATCATTTCCACTGGGGATGCCACAGAAACAGAACCAGTGGCAGTGTTAGCTGCATGGTTCTGCTTTTGTGAGAACAGCCTGAGACATAAAGGGAAGAGGGGAGGGGAAAAATCCCTGGAGAAAGCCACATGGTCCAGCTGAAGTGGAAAGATGCTTGTTCTGCTCTCAGCTCTGCCACGCAAGGAGTCTGGGGAAAAAGGCACCCAGGAGTGATTTCTCAAGAAAAGTCTTACTTTTAGTCTGCTGTGTATCTTCTTCTAGATGGCTGTGAAGGGTAAGCTGTGGGACAGAAATGAAGCAAGAGCATGAGAAGTGCCCCTTGTTCTGTCTCACACAGTAGCTAGGAACACAGAGTAAGAAGCAGGACATGTGTAGAACCAACCTTTCCCTTCTTGTCAGCAAAAGAGGGGACTGAGCCAGAAGTTACAGATCTACTTATGGATTTATTATCCAGGAATAGTTCCAGTTCCTTTGGCCTCATTTATACTTTTAGCCTCCAGAAAATGAGACAATCACTTCCACACTGAAGTTATGAGCTAAGTAAAAACTCACTACTACATATGTCCCTGGGGTAAGACTTATTTTTGCCTGTTCTCACACAAGAGAGACAGTTAGAAGCATCTCAAAATTCAATGCCCCTGATTTGCTTAGACTCAACAAGTCTTGCTGCCCAAAACCATAACTGTGTCCTACCCTTAGAAACCTCAGGGCACAGGAAGATTTTTGTCACTGGTCTGATTTGCTGCTTCTGTACTTTTTGATATCAATGAAATGAGCCTGAGCTGTGGATTGAAAACTGCTGTTACTGAGAGAACTGAGCACAAGTGAAGAATCTGAAACCATCCTAGAAGAAAGTAGAAGGTAAACAAGACAATCTACTCACTTCCTGGGAATCTCTGGAAGAGGTATCATCCAGGTCAGATGTCTGAAATAGAATCAGTGTAAATTAATCATGCCTCATAAGCAAGGGAGTGATAGAATCAGTGTAAATTAATCATACCTCATAAGCAAGGGAGTGGTAGTAAAAGAATATACAGAAGACTGAAAGTTCCAGAAAACAGAGAAGTGTGGACTTCCCCCTCCTACACTATTGTCTGACCACTTGGAGAAGATGCCACATTTATTAAAAGCCCTTGTACATCTAACTTAATTCCAGAAACTTTAGCACCCTTACAGCCTGCTCCCATTTAACCCCCATGGCTCAACACACAGTCTCTAAAGAGAGTTCACTTTTTGGTGGCTGGGGATCCCCTCATCATCTCTGGACATGCTCCCAGTACAAACACAGAAGCCTTCCCAGCCCACCACACTGATGAAAATCCTACAGACACACCGGTGTGGGGAGCTCCAGTTGCAGCCTCTTCAGCTTGGACTCAGTAGCCAGTAACTGGCTCTCCTTTTGGAAGAGCTGCAGTTGCATTTCGTCACATCGCTCCCCCAGCTCCCGGATCTGCTTGCGGTAGGTGTCCCTCTCCACCAGGTTCTTGGAGTACTGCATGTAGAACTGTTCTCGGGTCAGGAGTGCCTGGAGGAAGGGACATGTTGTGGCATCTCACACAACAGCACGTTCAGGGTTACAGGATCTGCCCACTTCAAGCAGCAAAGCAGGGTTTAGCAGCAGCTCCCAACAGGAATGTTTTATCACCTGGTCTCTCTCTGAAGCCACCTCTTCCATCTGCTGCAGGACAGCTTCAATCCTTTTTTTATACATCTGAGAGTCCTTCCTCAGAGATGTGCACTGTAGTTCAAGCATCTCTTTTTCTTCTGCATACTGTTGAAACAAGGTCAAAGGTCTGCTTGTGGGCAGAGCCTGAGATAGACTCTCCCCACTTCTGCTCTGTGCCACAGACTGCTCTGGCCAGACCTCCACACAATGTCAAAGTTCAGCCAGGTTGTCCAATTGGAGCAAAGACAACCAGAAGATTGGTCAGCATCACTAGGATGACAGCTAACATGATGGATTTACATATGCCTGAGCTGTCAACCATAAAAGCTCCCACCACCCTCCAGGCTGAGGCAGGGACTGTTACTTAACCAAGGCACTAACAGGTAACAGTTAATGCCAGAGGCACAGAACACTATAACATTAGCATCCATGTTTTTAACAGACTAACACAGACACTAGAGCAGGAACAGCAAGGATTGCTGCTCAGCAGCCCCCCCTGCTCCATAGGTGCTTCACTGCCTGTCTCCCCCCTGCCCTCAGCAGGGATCTGCAGTGCCTCACACACCTTGTCTTGCAGCACCTCTGCTCGGCGCAGCTCCCTGCGGAGGCTGTAGATGGTGTCCATCAGCTCCCGCCGCTCTTCTAGGATCTGGCTACAGTCTTTCTCCAAGGTCTCACTGGAGAGGCTCTTCTCCAAATTCTGTTCCCTGGCAACCTGCTGGACAAAGAAGAAAGTGAGATACAGCAACCACCTAACTCTGTATTAACTGTCTCTCCACAGCTCTGTGTGCTCTGTTTGACTTGGGAGACCAAGACCACAGCTGACCCACTCAATCTTCTACTGCTGCCCTGGCTGCTACAAATAATTACTTCTCTGGTCCATACCCAACCATCCCCACCAACCTGGAGAGTGTTCTCCAGCTCCTGATTCTTGGCCAAGAGCAGCTCCTTCTCCTGCTGGATCTCCCACATCACCTCATGGCTGGGACGCTGCTCGATGGCGTGTTTCAGCTTCATGGTGTGCTTCCTCTCCAGCTTGCAGTCATCCTCAGCCTTCATGAGGCTGTGCTTCAAGTGATCGATCTACAGGAGGCATAAGGAGGTTCAGAGCTCATCAGTAACAAAGAGAAAAGTCTGGCCTGCAAAAGAGGTCCTCACTCCCTTGCCAGGCAAACATGGGGCAAGTTTCTCCTCAGCTTTCGTTTTCCTCAGGATGCTCTGGGAAACAGAACCTGCTTGTGTGCCACATGGATACAACAGGTTGCTCTTATGAGAGGGCCCAGTCTTGAAAGAGGGGGAGACTTTTAATTCTTTACAGCATAACAGAGTGAGCTAGGGACTCCCAAGACATAAGAAGATGGACAGAGCCTTATGCTGGACTGGTTCAGACCATCCAGGACAAAGACACATCTGGTGCACAGCACAACCTTCCAGGGATCAAGGTTAAGAGGAGGAAGCTCTAGAGAAGGGTGACTGACCTCTAGGATGAGGTCCCGGTTCTTCATGAGGGCAGCGCTCTTCTCCTCGCTCTGCCTGGCAAAGCTCATTGCCAGGTTGTAGTTCTCATCCTTGCACTTCCTCAGCTCCTTGCTCAGGCTGTCCCTCTCCTCCTTCATCTTCTGTGCCCGCTCCTGGTGCTTGCGGAGCAGGCTGTCCCTCACCCACATCTCTCTGATCGTGTCCTCTTTGGTCTGCAGCCACACGCTGAGCTCCTGGGCCTTCCGTCGCTCCTCCTGCACCGTGCTCTGCAGCTTCATGATCTCATTCATCAGCAGCTGGCTCAGCCCAGACTCCCCAGCAGTGTCTGCATGGTGGGCAGGGGTCAGCTACCCCTGTCCTTTCTGCTCCCCAACACACACAGCACAGGTTCCCACCCGCTCATCACGTGCCACACACAAAGAGGCACAAGCCCAGGTAAGCCCCCTCAATTTGCACAGCAACACAAACAAAGAGCAGGTTTTTAAGAACACAAACGTTACCTATAATCATAGAGAAAACCCTGCTGGGCTCCTTGCCAGTTATCTTCTTATACAGTTGTGGATAATAAAGCTCAAGACTCTCCAGAAATGCCTCAAAGCCCTTGTGTCCTGTTCGCTGAAGAATATCCAAAAGAACGCCTGAAATAACAGCAACAGGATTATCTATTCATTTATCTCTTTTCTGTCATTCTCTCTGGTTGGAACTAGACCAGAACTGTACAGAACAGGCATGAGGAATTGACTTCATGTGTTCCCTCAAACAGCAGAAGATAGGGACAATACACGCTCCATTCACCTTGAAAATCTCCCCCTGCAAAGGTGTTCTAGAAGAATGGCCTTGAAGGTCAATCCCAAGCAACGCCCCCCTTGAGATCCACAACACCAAGAGGCCACACAACTTCCATGCTCCCATCACCCTTACACAGCTCAGGAATGTGTCACTGGAACCATTTCCATTCCTTCTCTTCCCAGAACCATGTGCTGGGGAAAAGGAAGGGGGCTGTGTAGCAGTGCCCACAAGGATTGTGTCTGAAGTCCAGCAGGCAGTAACCTAGAAGCGATGCTTCCTCCAGGCCCATCCCATTAGCCCTGCATTCCAACTGCTCCCATGAGCTGACAGAGCACGGGAGCATCCACAGAGCCAAAGGCTGCACTGGACCCACCTGCCTTCCGCTTACGCATGACCAGGCTGGGGTCATTGAGAACTTGCTCCTCATCATCGTGGTTGATCACCCTGCACTGGCGGAGGTAGGGCGTGATGCGGGAGGGGTCGATCACCGAGATCAGCTTCACCCGGAAGCTCTCCAGGTTATTCCAACATGTCTCATCATTATCTTCTTCCAACATGATGGGGAGCGACAGGTATTAGTGAGCAGAGTTGTCCTGTCTTGAAAAAACAAAACCAGAAAACAAACAAGCAGACTCTGAGCCTCCTAGAGCAGTGAGGGAGTGGTGGTGAAACCAAGGATGTTAATGGACTGAGAATGGAAAAGCGTCTTTTGGACACAGGAACACATCTCCCATGTGGTCTAACTCAGCAGGTGCAAACCACCTGCAGAACATGGTGACACACTGCAGTTACTCCTGAAGAGCACTGTGGTCCCAGGCTGGAGATACCAGCCATGGTGAGGCCAACACCAGTACTGCTGATACAGACATGGAGGAGAGCTAGTGTGAAGGTCGAAGAAAACAGAAGTCACTAAACCCTGATGAACTCCCCCCCAGCCAGCAGATTTCACTGCAAGAGGAAAGTGAAACTAGCACAAGGTCCCCTGGTGACAGGCAAGTCATTGAGAGCCCCAGGAACAGGGGAAAATCCAACTAATTCTAGATTCCCAACCAAGTCAAATCTCACCATCGACTCTCCAGATGCTCAGTTATGCTTAGAATTACATCTTTAATCCCCATAAACAATAATAAAAGGATGGAACACAACAGAAGATAAGCTGCAAACCACAACATTTCCCATTTGAAACTAAGCATCCTCCAAAGTACTGAAACCATCTTGAAAGTTCTCCTAAGTAGCTGTTGCCTCTGCTTCACAAACAGTTCACACTCTCCCTTCTCCATCTCCCAGCATTCCAGAGATCCCATCTTCAGCACATACTTGTTACACATTATCAATTAACTCTAATGAACTGGACTGACATAGAACTAGTCGCTACTTATCATAGAGAAAATTCTCTGCCTGATATCAAAACAGCCCCAGATCACAAAAAAATGCACTGTCCTGTTAATCAACATCACATCCTTAACTCAGAACTGCAAAATAAAACCTAATTTCCCTGTTCATACAAACCATTCTGCATTACATGGACCTACCTGAGCTTGTGTAGTCAAAAGCCTCGTTTCCTCTCCTGGTCTAGCAAAACTCATCTGTGGCCTCCCTCTGGGAAAACTTGTCTTGGATGCAGCCTCCCTTCATATTCTGACTAGAGTAAAGATCACTCCAGGAGCAAAACTGGTTTGAGAAAAGGGGAAACTACTCTTGAGACAGGAAGGGGAAGAAAAGGAGAGATTTAAAAAAAAAAAACAGAAGGGGAAGCCAGAATGGGTGACAGGGGAGGAGAAAATCCCCAGTCACATTGCTAGTCAGCAGCATTACCTATGCAGTGATTTTAGACTCATTCTGGCTTTGTTTTCCAATCGTTACCACCGTAGCACCAGCTGGAGCCCAGAATGTTCCTTCATGTAGTGGTCAGAAAGACTTAAAAGGTCCCAGGCATAGGTCTGTCCAGCTGATTTCAGGGGACAAAAAAAAATGCACAGCATGAGAAGAAAGAGGCTCTTCAGATCACCCTTTCAGCTGCTAACATCTGTACACTGGAAAGCAGGGGGCAGCAAGAACTCTCTCTTGGAGTTCAGCTGAAAAGGATGATTTGTATAATGATGCCTCTAATTTTGGATGCCCTTAAGCTTCAACAATGATGACAACTCAGTATTTTGAGGGAATGGGAGTCAAGTCTTGGCAAAACAAGGAACATAATCCAAGATTCCCAAATTGCAGGCTGTGCTCCACAGTCCTAGAACTGTGTCTGCAACAAGAACTCACTCACAGTCTGTTTTAAGTAAGTCCCAAGAACATACCTGCTCTGATGCATGGCAGCATGACACATTTTCCCATTAGCTTCCCACTCCACTCTTTGCTCTGCTTTCTAAGTTTCTGGAGAGTTTCCCCATGTTATCATTAGGAGTGGGGCAGAGATGCTCAGATATTCTTTAAGCCTGTGCTGCTTCTTAGGCATTAAATGAGCTTTACACTAAAAAAAAAGATACTGTACCTCTATCAGCTATGCCTTTTCTGAAGGTAATAAAAATGTCTGCTAATTGACCCATTTAGCTTCAGCAGTTTTTGTTCTATGGTAACAGGTTAGTTTAGTCCTGAAAAAGAACAGACAGCTTCTTCTTACAGAGTTTTTCCATGAGCAGTAAAATTACAAGGGCATCTTTTGAGCAGCATTTGCACAGGACAATAGCTTAAAGCACAGATTACAGTTACTACCAATGCCTCATGGTAACAGCCCTGTGCTGAACAGCACACACACCTGTATGGCAGAGCCTCTGCCACACCTGAATCTCTTGGAAAAATGTTATTTATACTGGCTTACAGAAAACAGAGAACAGTGCAAGAAGGAAGTAATTTCTAAACCATTCCTTTTGCACCATCATGTCTTGACACCCAGTTACAGCAACGTTGGTGCCCACGGTTCCCCTGGCCCCACCCCTGCCTGAAGGGCCCTCGAAGAGGAGCTCATGGTGCTCTGAACTCACCCCCATACCCGGGGAAGCTGAGCCCCTGCAGAGCAGGGATTCCCACTAGATTTACCAGCTTTGACTCAGCTAGCTTTGCACCTCTCTGGAAGACAGAAATGTGTGGTTTATGAATGAAGAAAGAAGATTTGTTCAGTGCTTTGCTAACGTCTGTATGGAGCAGGCTGTGGAAGGATCAGGGAAGAATCCAAGCCTAATTCAATCTTGCAGTTTTAGCCACATGAATATTCATTTTCCACATTCTCCCTGGTTTTCATGCAGCTTGCAAACCTCATTTTTCTCATCAGCAATCACACTCATACAAACATTATTAAAAGCACTATTTACCAGGAAATTAAAAAAAACACCAACACAGAACACATCAGTAATTTTTCAGTGAGAAAAATAAAACATCTGTATTTCAACAAATACTCAAGACTCATTTTGATACAAAATTAATCTGCTGCTTATCCAGCAGGATTCAGTCAGTCAGCTATCAAGCAAAACCACTGTTACAGCACTAAAAAAAAATACTCAATGAGCAACATATTCTGAACATGGATAAACATTCACATAAATAGGGGCTAAACCAAAAAAGGAATAAATAGCCACCACTGCTGGCTTCCTTGGATCTCCAGCAATCTTTCCCTCCATCATCTATGGCAGGTGCTAGTTTGAAAGAGAACTGAATTGGTCTGTGCCTGAAAGACTTCCCTCCAGCCATTTTGTTTCAAATTTTGCAACTTGTCTGAAGATTAAGACTTTGTTAGGTGATGGGAAAACCAGTCCAGCCTTTTTCCTATCCTCCCAAGGTCCAGCTAGCCAGTCCGTTGGAAGTGTAAAAAGTGAATAGTGCAAAGAGCATCTCCTACTGCCACACAGGAAGGCAGAGCTCATTCAAGTGATTCCTGTAACAAAGCACAAACAACTCCTATTAGTCACAGCAGTTTCAGAAGGAAGGAATTTCCAAAACAAATTTTCAAGAAAAAACCCAAACAGTCTCATCCCTTCATGTTCATTCAGTTTATTTCACCAAAACTTTCAAGATATAACCAAACACCCCACAGTTGTACCCTGCAGAAGCTGTTCTGTGACAGATTTAGAGAAATGAAGCCATAGAGGGGAACCCCCCCCTCCCAAGTTGTTCAAAGATAAAGCATTGAAGTCAAACTCCAAGGAAGCACCCACTGGACATAAGCCCCAGCCTGTAATCCTGTTCTTCACTTCTAGACTCACAAGTCAGGCTAGAGGGGACAAACTACACCAAGAGCTGCTGCCTCCTGCCTAGGATCTGCAGGACTGATTGCCTGACAACCCCCAGCAAGGACATCTTAGCACCAGCTTGCTGGAACCTGCAGCAAGGATTTACTTTGGCTTCTCCTTCAAGTGTTTAGCATTCACACACACACAAACCCTCTCTTCAGCAGCAGCTGCCCAGGCTTTCCTGTCCCATCATGACTCTCTACTAATCTCATTTTAGCAGCCAAGGCTGTAGAGTCCTATCAACTAGGTACAATGCCAGTGGGCAGCAGCACAGCCCAAAAGGCTGCCACCTTTGAACTTTTATCACACTGGCATCAGCCTTCCCTCCCCCTGAAAGTCCAAGAACCAGCCTTAGTCTATGATTAATGGGTGATTATAGAACTCTATCTCCTAAGGGAACAGAAGTCAAGAGAATTTCAGTCCCTTCCTAGGGTCATGATTCATTGTCTAAGCTGTACCAGACAAATGCATCTGAGGCAAGAACTCCAAGACTGACTGAGTAGCTACTAACACATTTCATCCTCACATCCTCCTCCTCTTCCTGAAGCGGTTACTTTTCCTGATTTGAGGAGCACTGGCATCAGCCACATCAGTCCAGGAGTCCAAGACAGACTGTGCAACATTCTCTTCATCTCCCATGATCTGCAACACAAGCAGAATAGACTATCAACACCAAGAGGTCATTTTGCAAAAGGACCCCTTCACCCAGCTTTTTATTTTAGGGAGCTCAGGTCCATATAGTCTAATAATCTCCAGTCATATAAAACAGAGACAAAGACCTTAAATGGTAGTAGGAGCCAACACGTGCAATCCCCCTGGTATTATTGTGGTTTAAAGGACACATACAATGAAAAACAAGAGCCTGATGTAAAAAATACAGCAGATTACAAACTGTAAGAGGAAGGGAGCTTTGATACTTGCTTCTGGGAACTGTCATGTCATGTTTAACGTGCTAACATAAACAGGCTTTTACCCTGTGAGGACTAGGGGCTCCCAGCTGAGCTCTTCCTGTTATCAGCTGCAAAACTACATCAAATTTCTGCTACACTTAAGAACAGTAGGGGTTTCACCCCAGATTCCAGTGGGAGCAGTTTAGCTGGCACTAAATTCTTGTGTTTATTCCCTGGCACCTTTGTTTTACCTGATTTAGTAAATCAGCATCTTTGTCTCCAGACTCATCACCTGTTAATTTATTCCCACAACTCTCTTCCTCAGACACTTCCTTCTCACTCTGCCACTCCTCTTCATCACTCTCTTCATATTGCTTCCTGCTGGCTGACAGAGTTGTTGACACTTTTGGAGGAGGCAGAGTTGCTAGTACAGCTGGGAGTGTGAAGGCTGCCAGGAATCTGGCTTTCAGGAGGAGGTAAGCAGGGTTATCTCCGAGTTTCTGCTGCACCAGGTTCCTGATAGCTTGGAGATCAACCCCAGTGGCTTCACCCTGACTGGCATCGGAAGGCAGCAGACATGCTGCTTGCTCTTCTAAAGCTGCTTTCTGCAAAAGTAGCTTTGAGAGGGTTTTTAAGTTGCACAGAAAAGGTGGCAAATAAGGCAACCTGGTCTGCAGTGATGGTACTTGGACACCTTGTTTCCCCTTCATCCACTCCTTCACTAGCTCCTCATCTTCGAGGGAAATGAGGCTAAAGTCAAGTACATTCTTCTCTGCACTGGAAGAGGTTGGCTGAGTTGGACTGTCAGCAGGCTGTGTAGTTGGAGGTTTGGAGGCAAGAGGTCTGTTTTTCCATGCTTGTGCAGCAAAGCAATCAGAGTTCCTTGGAACATTGTTATGGGAAACTGCATCTCCTGGTTGGAGCACAATCCCTTTGGTGACAATCCTTAGACTGGAAGGTGATCCATTGGTTGTAATGGAGTCATAGCTCTTTCCTGAGCTAGTGAGACCTGACAGACGTTGGGAATCAGACCCTTGGGTGCTCGTAGGTAGCTGTGCTTGGGGCAGCACCACAGCCTGCAGGGTTGGTGTACCAGATGGAGCATCAGTCTGAGCTGCAGAGGATTCAGAAGCCTTGGAGGAGCCATCTGGACATGCAGGGGTTGCAGCAGAAATGCTGGAGGTGGTGCATCCAGGGCTTGCTAAGATCACAGGTAAGAGACCTGTGGAATGGTGAGCTGTCTTTCCCAAAGGTCCTCCTGCTACCTGGGCACTTGGTGCTTTTGTCTCTGCACTGCTGGGGTGAGGTGTATGTGCTCCAGCTGGTGCTGGAGGCACTCCCAGGCTGGAGATGCTGGATGTGACAGGCGTGTGAGACGGACTCCCCGCAGCAGCACCAGGAACACCCAGCACAGTCTGCACAGCCGTGGAGAGCAGAGACTGTGGTGTCACAACCCAGGTGAAGGGCAGGATGCTGCTGGGAATCAAGTGGGAACCAGTCTGTGGGGTTACATGAGTAGACAAGAGACCGACTGGCCTCTGTTGTGTCCCATTACTGGTCAGCTCACAGGGAACTGGTGTGGAAAGAGACAATTTGCTGGTGCCAGACCCAATGCCAACAGGCACCACTGTAATCTGATGTGGCACAAAAGCTTGGTTTTGCAACACTGCTGAAGCTGGGCTGCCAGCTGGGACCTGACCATTGCACCCTCCCTGATCTGAGGCCTTCTCTGCTGCAGCTGGATTCATGCCTGGAAGAGCCCCTCCTCCAGGGCTATCTTCCAAAACTTTCTCTTTGTCTTTATTGGACTGTAGTTCTGTCACTTGTGAGGAACTGGGGCTCTCCCCAGTTTCTGGCACTGATGAAGAATGGTTTTCAAGCACAGCACTGGTAGAAGTTGAACCTGCAGCAGAAGTAAATGCTGGCAGTGGAGCTGGTGCACACTGCACTTGGCTATTTTTACTACCAACTGCTTCAGTTTTGCTCCCTGGCTGTGCAGAAGGAACGGTTTGCTGTGGTGGGTGCTGGATTATCAGAGGCCCCGAAACCAGCATCTGTGGGGCAACAAAGACTTTCCTCTGCATAGCTTTGTTAGCCTGGGATTCTCTTAGTCGCTTCTCTCTCAGTAATTCTGAGACAGTTCTAGTCTTGTGCCTTTGCCCTTGGGCTGGAGGAGCTCTCTGCCCAGCAGCAGCACCACTCTCCAGGACAGAACTCTCCCTTGGTTGTAGAGCCACACGTCTCCTGACAGCACACCTTGGTACACCCCTCTGGGAGCTCCTCTGAGTACAAGATTGTGATGAATTGCCTAAAGAGGAGAGGAAATAATTTAAAAAAAAAAAATTAAAAGACTGAACAGTATTCTCAAAAGCCATTCCTTAGCTGCTAAGCATCAAGTACCCTGCACAGGAAGTAGCACAATTCCTGTTTGTAAGAATTCCTACAACACTATAGTCTGGTTTAATCCAGCCACATCCTCACATCTTCCAGGTAACTGATGCAGCCAGCTTGCCACTTGTTCAGTAATGACAGGATTTTCCCCAGAAATCACAGATGGGCTAGGAATGCACCTTAGCACACCATGTGTTGTAATGGTCAGCCCTAGGCTGGCACTTTGCACCAGGCAGGATGACAACAACAAACTGGGGCTTTGGTCAGTGCCAGCATCTTCACCACAGCCAGCACCTTGCTGGAAGAAAGGATGACAGCCAAGTCTGCAGAACTGGTGGCCCAGTGCCACTGGGCCAGCCCCCAGCCCTTCAAATATGTTTTCAAGTCCTTACCAAAGAGTAACATATTCAGACAATAACTGAAAATAAAAGAGCTTGTAAAAACAATCATGTCCAAGTAGTTTTGTTCCACAAGTTCTCCTTCAGTTAAATTGGTCATTAATGTAATGGTGATCAATTAAGTGCAAGTTCTTGCACATCATAAAAAAATATGTTCTGGTAGGTACCTGAAGAAGTGTCCATATTTTGGGAAGCCTGCAAAAAAAAATATATATTAAATTATACTTCTGAGATACCTAAAGATGATTAAAACAGCACAGATGTGAATCAAAACCACATCTGCCAATATCCTATATATTTTATTAGGCTTCTGAACCAAAACTAACTGGTGACACACACATACCAACAGCACCACTGGCCACACACAGTGAAAAATCCCCACTTCAGCCAAGATTTTAGAGGGAAAAGCTTAGAAACAGACCATGTGCAATACCTGCTGAGGCCTTCTGAGGTCAGATCGGAGCTGCTCTGCCTGCCTCAGCTTTCTCTCACTAATGATCTTCAGGCAGCCATGGGTATCAATCTGGAAGAGCTGCAAGGGGAGAATTTTACTTAAATTTGATTGAGAACAAAAACGTTCTGGTAGAGGCCGTGATAATCCAAGATGGATGGGAAAGGCTTTGCATGCAGAAGTCTGGGGACTTTTTTTACACTTACAGAAAAAACCCTCACAGTATTAGATCATAGATGCAGGTTTACTTAAGAAACTTCATATGCAATCCATGAGATCAGATTAACCCAGTAATTCGTTTCAACAAAGATAAACCATCATTTAAGCATCAAATGCAGGAATAAAGGTTACCACTGTTTGAAAGCAGGTAATGCTACTAAGACCTACCTGAATGAAAAGTTTGAACAGAGGAGTGCTCACGAGACTGACAGACTTGAGCTTCTCTTGAATAGAATCAGCTAGAAAAGAAAGTCCAACATCAAGATCAGCTGGACATCCACTTACAAGATGTCAGAAAGTAGGGGCAAAACAAGTAGATGCTTGGGTCAGCACTACCTTTTGTCTGGTGAAAAGCCATCTTCCCAGTTTGCAGGACACAGGGCAGCAGTACATTGCCCACCCAGGGTGTCACTGCCATCAGCAGCTTCCTGTCCAGGCTCATCCTCTTCCACCGCTCCCTCTCCTGCCGACCAGCTCTCACGGGGGTGTGCTGCAGCTTCTGTTGGGTACCCACTCCAGACATCCTTGTTAACAACTTTGGTTGCTGTGCATGAACAAATAGTTTATTAGCATTCCAGTTAGGAAGATTCTATCTTAATTAGTCCCAGGACAAACTATTCCCAGGGCAGTTATGAAAGAAAAAAAAATGATGAGCTTTTCCTCTTGAGGCAAGAAGATCTGGGGTTCTATCAAAACACGTCCCACTAAATGCAGCCCAGCAGTGCTCACATCACAACAGCACACAAGACAGAAGAGGCACTTACAAGTTTCATCAGAAGGCATGTGTTATTCCTCAAGACTCTTCTCACATTCTCCAGGCTAACCCATAGCACTTGCTTTCCAGACCTGGCAGCCTTAAAACAAAAGTGTACAAGAGAAAATAAAAGGGCAACTACCTCACAGAAATTACCTGCACTCACTGTACACAAAAGGTACCAAAGTTTTCAACATTCCTGC